AATGTATTTTTTATATATTTTTTATATTATAAAATGAAGTAGGTAGAATTAGTGGTTTTTGACTGAATTGTACCGAATTGGGTGATCCGTCGTAGGGGGTGATCCGTCGTGTGGGGTGGTGTCTTACTTCGTACCCGAACGGGAGGCGGTCAAGTAAATACACCATCGCGGGACTCCCGCACCGCCGCCAAGTGCGACGGACGGGTGGGTGTTTGTCAGACCTAGACGTCTAGGCCGGTACGCTACTCTCACATGGTGCGATTCGATTATTTTTCCATCCATTCCACTCCGTGCAGCAAGAAATACACGGAATCTTGCCGAGACTTTTGGTATTGACTCGAGTCGGGGGCACCTACAATCTAGATAGTCCTGTAAAATCTGCAAACCAACTCACAGGTGCATATCCGTTGGCGCCGTTTGTCACGATAGAGAGGCCATCTATCCATCCCACCCCCTCCACAACAACCCGCGGGATTCAAACGTCCTCGATCGGGAAGAAACAACGCAAGCGAAACAGAAACAAGCGTGTCCTGCTGTCTCGTCGCACTCGAGTTCTACGTTGTCCGTACCTATCCGTACCTCACTTTGCTCCCACGCACTTCCGAATTAGGCTTCCCGTAGCCGAGACTGGCGATCAAAAAAAGATGGATTCGACTGCACGCGTAGTGACTGACTGCATGCCGATGTGCCTCCCGTCAGCCTACCTACCTGACTCCCGCCGACGCTGCCGGTTCGGCCAAGGCTTCCGACGGGCGGGCGGGGAAAAAACCTGGATCGGCAGTGTGCACCACCGCCTACCACCACCACCACCACCAACACTACCGTCAAGCCGTCCCGTCGGCGAGCGTGTCTCTCACGAGACACACCTTCTTCCTTATCGCCGGCCGTGTCGGCTCAATCGTGAACCTGCCGACCCGCGTGCCAGCGAAGTCGGACGCTGGAGGCCTGATGGTGGTTGCCGGCGTATGTCTGAAGACCGGATGGATAGACCGGATGAATCAGTTCAAACGGCGGCAGGCAAAAGATACACACCCCTCTTCGTGGTCTCGTCGCTTCCAGTTGCCGGTCCTTTTTGTTTCCTTCACATTACCGTGTGAGATTCGAACATTTGGTTCTGGAGGATAGTTAGCGTGTCTGCATCGCGGAAAGAGCATAGGCAATGCCCAGCAAACAGGCCAGTCGCCGACGAAGCCGTAACAGTCCAGTGGTCAAGGACCCCCCGGGCGACCCTCGTTAAAGACTTTCACAAGCCAAGCCCCAATTGTGGTGCCATTTCCATCTTGCCTTTTGATCTGCCAATCTTAATAAAATCTGGCAGCTCAGATCTCCCGTCGGGTCTTTCGGTGCTGCTCGCAGTGCCTTATGTCAGCGCGGGATGCCTCGGCCCTCGAAAAAGGGACGCGCTCGGGCCCCTATGCGCACCACGTATCTCCACGTTCGGGCCCCGAGGGAACAGTTCTGTCGCCCGTCCAGCGGATTTCTGGCAGGGCAATTGCGGGAGGTTGTCTTCTCCGTCGGTTCCTCTGGGGGGGGGGGGGGGGCCTGGGGCTTATCTCCTTTGGGTTCGCCGTCTCCAGTCGGACGGGATTCGTCCGTCCGCACGCTCACGCCCTGTGCTGATGACAGTCTTTCATTTTTTTTTTGGCCTCGGTGACTCGCATTCGCTGTCGCGGCCGCGTTGCACACCCCCTCCCCCCAGCATACCGTAATTGTGTACGCGGGATGCCACACCGTACACGCCTTTTTTTTCGCAGGCTCGTGGCTGATGTCGGCTTCGTATCGTCGTAATCGTTTTTTGTTTTTTTTGGCGTCGTCTTCCATTTTTTTCTGCCTCTTGAATTTTCCCAAAGTCCCAGCTGCGCCATGCTTGCCTCGCAATCGTTTCTCTTTTCATTTCCAATCGAATATCCATCAGACCAGTCCCAATCAGATCATCGTCGCCGTTCATCGTTCACCAGCGGCGTTCATCCGTAAAACTCGGATGGAAAATGAAGCATCGTGACATTTGACTCGTCGGCGACTATCAGTAATATCCTCGGTGACATTCTTTTGTGCAAGTCGCTTCGGGTGCGACGGCGGGGGGAAAATGTGATGAATAATTCGAATCGCTGGCGTCGGCTTTTTCGCTGTTTGCTCTTCGCCTGCACCATTAAACCACGGGCTTAACCTCCAGGCAGCCTAATTATTAATTCCGTCTCTTTGCGGTCAAAAAAAGGGACTGTACGGCGGTAGGGGGGTTAAAACACACCGCCAAAACCCGAATGCCATGAGGAAACCCCTCGTGATTCGTCCACGATACGGCGGCGTTAGTGAACCACGGAAATCTGTGAGACGGTGACTGTCCTGAGAGATGACTAGACGGAAGGCAGGGGGGCGTGTCGTTAAAATGTCGGGGCGCGGAAATCGGTCGTCATCGTGGAATTTGCTTTGTAACCCCCGTTCGTTCGTGGCAGGCTGGCAGGCAGCACCAAGCGCAGCTGCGCAAGGCAGGCAGCTCGGCTTCGAAGGGTGAGGTAAGCGAGTGAGCGAGCGAGGGGTTGGCGGGCGGGCACCTGAGCAGCTGTTGGAAAGACCGGAGGTTGAGCGACGCCGATCTGCCGAGATCGCAGGGCGCATCCACCAATCCTCTTCGGGTACCTGGGCGAAACTGGTATGCCGTATGCAGTACTCCGTAGACATAGGTCAAAAAAAAAGTCGATTTTTGTGAGGTGCGCGGTTTGGAGTCGTCGTAACGCGCAGCGGTGCATTGTAACGGGCAGGTCTTTGCTGAATCATGTGGTCTGCCTAAATGACTCGGTCAGCGCGCCAGTTTCATCCAACACTCCTACTTTTCGCCCCGACATGAGGCGAATGAAGAAGCAATGATGATGCAATCGTGACTTACCTATTTTGTTGTGTTGCTCCAAGTCCTCGTACCAAGAGAGTATTCACAGTATTGCAGAGGACAGGGGGTTTGATTTGATTGATTTTTCAATTGATTGTCTGATGCTTCGCTTTTGAATAGGGCACTGTTTGACCCCCTAAGCGGCTATCTATCTGGTTTCTGTAACACATTGTGCTGGTACCACTCAACCGCGGACTGGAGCCCGGGAGCGGAAAGACAGCTGAAGAAAAGAAAAAAAAGTCCCGATTCCATTATCCATCAGGGTCCTCCAAATAGGCACCCCATGCTTTCTCATTGCGACATATAGGAAAAATAAGATGAGAGAGAAGAGTTGAGAAGACATTGCTGTCGTTTTGTAATCCAAATAATTCGTGACCCATGCCGTTGTAGTTTGGTATCGGTGACAAATGATAAACGCCGTAATATATGCAAACGCTCGCTGATGTAAAAAGCCAAAGAAGAGATCATGTTACAAGGTAGTGTGTGGTTCTCGAGTGTAGATTTAGTACACTGAGATGGCAGACACGAGCCTTGCTGGGTTGCGGGCCGGCAGGTAGTAGCCTTCCGAGTAGAAGGTACCGTCGCCCTGTTGTGATTGTTGTTGAGAGATCTCTTCCTTGGCCTCCTTCTCGTTGAAGGTGAGCACTGCGTTTGGCGGTGACGGGGGCATCGACTCGTCATCTGAGATGTCAGAGTCGTGCTCGTGCTCGAGCTCTGGTGGTGAGCTGGAGCTGGAGTGGGATGGTGTGCGGACGAGCTCGAGCTGTGCGTAGTCCTCCTCGAGGTCGTCCTCCTCCATGTCGTAGTCTTCCGAGACCTCGATAGTGGATGTTCTCGGGGAAGCGGGAGCGGCGGAGGGCATGCGGCGAAGGGAGACGGTGTCGGCCATCTCGATGTCGTCCTCCTCGTAGTCGTCGTCAGAGGAGACGGAAGAGTCGTCCGAGTCGGAGGAGTCATCCTCGTAGAGGTCCTCCGAGTCCTCGGCGATGGAGTCGGCCCATTGGATGTGACGGTCCTTGGCGGCAGCGGGAGCGGACTCGGTCTTGGTGGCACCGCGGACGGACTGGTTGAACCAGCTCTCTTGTTCCCGCTCGGCGTCGGCGAGCTCAAGCATCAGGGAGTCGAGGAGATTTGCGTGGCCGACGAGGAGGCGGAGGTCGTGGTCGGCGCGGGCAGCCTCGGAGGAGAGCTTGGCCCGGGCCTTGTGGGCGAGGTAGTACGTCTGGGTGATGCTCATCTTCTTCTTCTGGATGGCAAGGCGGAGAGGTTGTTGTGTGTGAGGAGCAGTGAAGGTGGAAGTTGTGGTAGTTGTCGACATTTTGTATGACTGTGCACCAATGGTGACTGATATGTCGCGATTTTGGCTGGTATGACTCAAAGCGAGATCGGGGGGTGCAAGATGCAGTGGGGCAGGGATGCCTGGGCTAGTTGACTTGGTCTGTGATGATGCTTTGGTAATCTGATTTTTTTGGAGTGTACCAGATGAGGCGGCGAGATGAGATGGCAAAGAGGCAAGGTCGATGATGGTTATATAATAGTTCAGGTTGGAAGATGTTTCTTCTTGAGAGGAGTTAGTATCGATCTTGTGTCTTGGGTCTGTTGAAGCTGAGGCTGGATGATGGGATTTCTCTAGATCTGGTTGGGAAGGGGAAACACATTTCTTTTAACTCAGGTTGCTCCGCTGTGCTGGCTGACCTGGACTTGTCGGGCTCGGAGAGAAGAAAAGTGAGGGAGGAGCGGTGACAAGGGGAGGGGTGTGAGAGCGAAGGGTGTGCAGGTGCAGGGGGTGGATGACCCATCGGGGGGGTGTGAGAGGGTGGGGTGGGGTGTGGGCGGGAGTTTTGCGCGATTGCGAGGTGCGAAGTGCGAACCTTCCTAAGCAGAAAAAATTATGAAAGCGATGAGTCTTTCGCTGTGCCTGCAGAAAGTGGGGGCTTCTCTAAGCTCCGCACCACGGTAGCCGTTCCTCCATCGTGGACTTTGGGCGGCGTTTGTCATCAGCAAGGCCGAGGGTGCTTCCCGAGCCTCCGCCAGCTGGGCATTTGTCGCTGCGGGCTGCGGGTGGTGTTCGGACTTTTGGAGCTTACCTACGCTGCCGCCGGTCGGTACGGCGTAAGTGTACGGTTGCCCGTCGCTAGCAAACCCAAGACGCTAATCCGGTTGTTGTCGTCGTCGTCGTAGTCGTGGTCGACCTTACCACGCTACCAAAGGGCGCCCAGAAGAACCAAAGTCCTGCCTACTGCGTAGACTCGCTGCGAGGTTCTCGAGGGTCTGACGCACTCGGCGGAAACAGCACGACGACTCATCGCGGACTGAGTACGTACCCCGAAGATCCGTAACCTTCTACCCGTACCTTCCTTCCTAAGGTAGGTACCTTACCTATTGCTGCTTGGGTACGGAGCATCGCTGCTTATTCGTCAGGTCGCTAGGTACCTCGCGTCCTGATGGGATAAGCGTCCACGTTTGTCAGCCTGTGCTCGCTTTTCTCTGTAATCAATCAATCCAGGTCTTCCATCAGAATCGGCCACTAGACTTCTCCAGCAAAGCACGCACTCCCGCTAGTCTCGTCTCATCTCATCCCCTCTATTCGTTCTTACCATAACCCGTAGTGACTTTGTATTCATCATCACCAAAACGGAGACAGGAATTAGGCATAACTCCCATAACTCCGCACCGACCAGCAGTTGGATTAATCACCAACCTTACTCTACCACCCACCGCTGCCCCGGCGTCTACGCCCTTTCACCCTGTCCGTCAGGCGCGTCATCTCTTCATCGCTAGCTAGCTCCGTCTCGTCTGCCTCAATTTCCAATCTGACACGCCATATCATCGTGAACACACGCGCAGGTTATGCTTATGGTTCGCTTGCTGGCCTTGGCTCTCGGCCGCAGTCGCACGCGCGCCTTACCAATTACCATAACCCCGGCTGCCTACCTTACAACCATAATTACACACACTCTCTCAGAAAAAAGGGATGATGGCTCATTTCCTATACTCTGTAACTCGCACCATGCGCGCAATCTGCGACAAGCTGAGGCCAGCAAGCGAGAATAGAAAAAAAAAGGGAACGGGCCTCATAATGTCAATAGCGGGATTCCAGCTCACTCACGACGGGGGTATGTTTTGCTTAACCCCGTCCCAAGGTGCCATCCCAAGAATTTCCAATTCCCCTTGATTGTCACAATTGCCAAATGTAATACCCCAGGGCCAAGGCTGAAGGGGGACCTGATCTGATGTCGCTCCCGTTCACCCCCTTTGGGATAATGACAATTCACAGTACTCCGTACCCCCCCGGCATTCTGTACTCTCCGTAACGGATCACCTGGGGTGCGAGAATGGACAAAGATGGGAAGCCTAAAAGTACTGCGCCGAGAGCCGTTGCTACCTCAACACCTCACCCTCACCCCGGTCGATCGCCAGGCCTTACAGTTTACGGCGCCGAGACAAGGGAATACAGTACGGCCGCGAATTGTGCGAATGCGCGCGGGGGTAAAGCACAGCGCAGCACAGCACAGCTTGGTACGAATCCCCTGGTCGCTGCTGCTGCTGCTGCTGCACCGCCTCCTCCGCCGTCGGCTCCGTCCACGTCCTCCTGCGAGTGCGAGCAGTGCGAGCTTGCGAACCGGGGGGCAGACGACGGGGGATAGACATCTGCGGAGAGATTAGATGCTGGCCAGCTGACTGCCTTCGCGGACACGCGCCAATCACAGGCCCTTGCGAGCTGAGGCGCTACGCAGAGAGAGTACGAAAGTACGAAAGTACGAATCCCATCTGTACGGATACACGGAGTAGATCCGTACGGATTTACGAATGGCCCCGAGCCACACACTCGTTTTGTAGGGCTGAGCCTTGACGCGCGAGAGAGGGAGAGAGAGAGAGCAACGTAGCAGGAGTCTCATCGCCCTTCCTGTTCCACGTATTACATTACGGTAGGTACTCATACACTCACTTTCCTCTTCCTCGGCCGGGTTAGGCATAACGCCCTTCGCTCTCGGCATAACTCTTGCTTAAACATTCCTGTCCGTACCTTACACAAAGTACCTTGCGGTCGGTGCCTGGAGTCCACGTCTTGGGGAGACGCGGGCAGCCCAGCCACAGGACCCGGAAAGGCCCATGATGAGTCGGAGCCTGAAAGCAAGGTACGGTGCTCCAACTCCACAGCCCGGACCATCGCGAAGAACTATTGCCCCGGGCGACGGGGTTCATTCGAACGGGGGCCACCGCAGCAGACTTTGGACGAAAAGCCTGATCGGCCGGGCTTGAAACTTTTTGGTCTGGATACCCAAACTGCCCAATAGAGTCCGAAATACCTGACCAGTTTCACTTTTTGGGCTCGAATCCATCTGTTCGATCTTAAGAGTGGAAATATCAATCAAGTATCAGGAACAAGCCCTTGCGCATCGCCGACTTTGTTCCTGTTTCCACGGGGACCATGGCCCAGCAAAAATGAGGGAGGGAAAAAGCAAGGACGGTGACGGCGACGATGATGACCCGGGAATCACGAAGCCCGCACCGCCCGGGGGAGATCTCTGAAAGGCGTCAAGTGATGAAACCATACGTAGAAACCCACCCCGCCGAAGCTTCCCTCCGACTTTGCCCATACCGAAAAGACAAAGGCCCGCCTTCTGGGCATTAGACGCGCCCGAGAAAGATTGGGGGGGGGGGGGGGGGGGGGGGGGCGGGGGCGGGTGCGCGCCGCGGGGGGGGGGGGCGGGCGAAGAAAACAAGAGGGGGGGGGAAACAACACTAAAAAATGCCCCCATCTTGTGCCGGAGACAGACGGCAAGTGGGGGGGGGGGGGGGGGGGGGGGAAGCGTCGGAGACGTTTCGGCACCGTGAATCGGGGCACGGAGCGAATGTCAAACTGAAGGGGGGCAGACAACTCTAAAAGATTACGCTCACACTTTGACAGCGAACAGCCACAGGTTGACGGTGCGAATCAGGTATTATGGCTGCATCTTTGGTCATCGACTCATCAGTCATCCGGGCAGATCTGAATGTCCTGGGGGCACGACGCGAATGGCAGGGTTTGGCGGTCTTCAAGCCACAAAACGCAATGCTTACACACCCCTCCTCTCTCTCTCTCTCTCTCTCTCTCTCTCTCTCTCTCTCTCTCTCTCTCTCTCTCTCTCGTTCCCGGGTACCCATAGCGGTCGGTCGGTTGAAATCGCCGTGCTCCGCTCCGCTTCGAGTCGAGATGACCCATCGACTCTAGGTACTCTACTCCGTCCTGCCAGTGGCTCGGTCCCAAGTCTGCCATTCGGTCTGCCTACATGCGACTACCTGTCTGCAACCAGTCTGCGCCTATACGCCAATACGTGGACGCGGGGGGAGACGAGGATGTGGTCTGTCCAGGTCAGATCAGAACCCACGGCATCATCGAGAGCGTGGCTTGCTGCATGCGTGCCCCGTACCCTTTTCCCACCACCACCACAGTACTTCTTCTCTTTCGCTTTCGCCGTTCAAGTTCTAACCCGTGAGATTGGTTCATCCAATCGCGAGGCCGTTTGACAGAGACGCAACCCCTCGATCGGGCCTGCCCTACGTAGCTACCCTCAGTCTCGCGTGAGATGGGACCATCGGGTCTAGGGTTACACACGCGTACATGAAGCCCGGGCCAAACTTCGCAAGGAGCTCTCACAAGTTACCCAGCAAGCGGAGGGGGGGTGAGATCGAGACAAGCTCGTCCGAAAACTTCCCTTTTGCGTGGCGCGCGTGATCGTCGACTTCTCGACAATCTTCCGGCTTCCAATCCCAGTGTTGCGGGATTTGGGGGCCGGCTGTGCCTGGCGGAGAGCTTCCAAGCTTACTCCGTGGTACGGAGTACCTACCTAACCTACAGGCTACCGTACCAAACCCCACGATCTGCACAAAATCCCGGATTGGGGACGAGCACGGCGGAATACGGGCGTCTACGGCTACACGGCCTTGTGTAACGAAATCCTTTGTAAACTCGCGTGGGCCGTACCGTAACCCGTAGCGAATCCTAATGCTTTTCGCAGACGGGACGAAAAGCATTGACTGTTCTATTCCGGTGTCTACCGGTATTCAATCTCTCCTACCTTTAATCCTCCCGACTCCCTCCGTTGGGAACGGGGGAAACGATAAAGACGTGGGGGGGTTTCCCAGAAAAAACGGTCCCGTGCCGTCCGAAGATAAGTGAGCGGAAGGGGTGCTTTGACGATGAATCCGGATTTAATGCGGAGGATAACGGGAGAAAGACAGAGTGAGAAGAGGAAGGGGAGTTCGGCATGTTTGGAAAGCGGCCGTCTGATGAAGCGTGACTGTTTTCTGTTCTGGACCTCTTCTAGACCCTTGAGTTTCATACTTTTGAGCCCTTCCGAACTACCCGCACGGTTCACTTGTTGCCGTGGCCCCGACGGCCGGACGGACGGCCACCTAGATCGGCGAGGGGAGGAGGAGCACGCTGGGCCCCGCCAAACCAACACTCTTTCACACGTGAGAGACGGAGAGATGTGCAACCGGGGCTCGACGGAGTAAAACAGGCAAAAAGAGTCATCAGTAATCAATGAAACCCGTCAACGGGATCCAGCACACGCCCACACCCAAAACCCACGCTTCACTCACACGCGCTCTCGCGTCATTGAGATTGGACTGCAAAATGCCGAGCAGAGCTAAAAGCTTCTTTCACTCTGTAGTCCCATGATTCCCAATCCCAACTCCGCGGTAACGGCCAAGTGGTCTATGCTCTCTCTCTCCTGCTTCATAATCACCTACACACTTCCATCCTCTTATTCCCACACCGCGGGATGACGAGATCAGGGGTCTTTTGTGCGTATACTCTATACAAATCATCAGACTGCCCCCCAATACTCACAAGTCCGCTCCGTTCATGTGTCAGCGTCGTGGAATCGCCGAAGAAGCGAGAACTGAGAACTGCAGCCCTGCAAGCGGGGAGGACTTGGTTCGGATAGGCCCCGGATGAGATATTCCACAATGTGACGAATGGATGGAAGTCTTTTGAACAGGCTGATGGAGATTCGGGGGAATCTGAGGCCAGCTTACTTTGCCTACAACAGCAGCAGCAGCAGCAATTCATCGCATTTGGATATCGCCAATTTGCACTGCATCTCCATTGGTAAGCCTCTTGCAGAATACAACACAGCACAGCGCAGCGCAGCGCATCATCGTCACCGCCGTACGCAATGGAACGTAGCAGCTAACTCGCCGTTTCCCTAGCTGCAGGGTTGGATTACCTACCAGATAGGGCTGGGTGCGATGCGGAAGAGAATCCGTACCCATGTACCACACATCGTACTCCATACCCGTAAGAAGAGCGAGGGTATGCAAAAAAGCTCGGACTCGCTCGCGGAATGCGGCCGGGGTGTCTGCGTCGATTTTTGCTGTGCAGCACTCGATACCTATTCCGCACCCGCTGACATGCATCCTCCGTCCAAACGTGTCCAATAACTGGCGCCGCGAGCCGTCAAGTCACCAATCAGGGAACACGGCGGATAGTACTTTCATAATCCCCAAGTCGCACACGGAGATGTCCTATGAGACGTGAGGCGGTGCTTGCTTACTTTACCTACGGTACTCTACCGTATTGCATCTCACAAGGCTGTTATGCTCACCGCTCGTGGCTTGTGCCACCGCAGCCATATCGTGCCATTGGTCAAAGGGACGCGCATACCGGATGACTCTTTGGCATGTATGTATGTACCACCGATGCATGTTCTACGCTCCCGCTTCCGTGTGTGTGCCACGCGACGTCGGACGAGGCTTTGTGGCTTTGCAGTCTTTTGCCTATACGGCTGCTGGACGTGCTTCGAACTGCAGCGGCGCTAACGAGCCTCCCAAGCCTCCGCGGCCTGCCCCGGTGCAGATTTGAATACCCGTGGACGTGGACAAAATCGGTTCGGCGATGTGCGGCCGGAATGTCGCCGTGATGGGGGTTCTCAGTTGGGACAAGGCCCCGGGTACCGTACGGGGGTGTGGCTTGCGAGAGTTTTCTTGTCTTTCTTCTCGGTTTGCACCGAAGACGCCCTGCAGTTTACGGAATTCCTATGCGGCATTGCTGCACGATGTCGTCGTTCATGGCTGGGGGTTCAACTCGATCCGGCATTTCGGGGTTATCTTCTCAGGACACGGACTTGCATTGGATTATTCGTACGTCTGTCGGGGTTAATCGACAATGGAAGTTCGATACTGGTGCTGACTCACTGTTTAATATCTATATGCACGACGATCCAGAAACAGGGCGCCCTTTCGAATGCCCCTTGCGGAGGAACTGCACCTCCACGGAAATAAGAACGAGATATGTCCAGAAGAAGGGGGTTAGAGCCTCTCAAACTCTTCAAACGCAACACCCCTGTCACATCGCGGCCTTCTCCCGGCCTTCTAGCGTCCTTCCATTTGGCGGAGTCCCACTGCATGTGGACCATGCGCGGAATCACATAACCTTCTAGCGTGCTTCTAGCGTGGAAGACAGGGGTTCTGCGGTCCTGCGCTCCTGATTTTCACATTTGCGGAGCCTCGCTTGCCGTCTCGGTGTTCCATTGCTCCTGTCATTCAGCCTGACGGACCACGGCGCCATCGTGTGAGAGGTTGTGGGCTGCCAGGGCTGATGTGCGACAGGGCTCATGGCTGTCAATGGTCAGAGCCTTCAGGCGTACACATCTCCACGGCGTCCAACCAGAGCCACGCGACGAAGTTTTTCATTCTTTCGTCCGCTGGGATCTGGGTTACGCGGGATCGAACTAGTGGATCAATCACAGAAAACCTCACACCAAGTGGACTTCAGGTATCCAAGAGGCTAGGATGGAGAAAATTTTCTTGCCCTCTTTCCCTCTTCACAGGCATTTTCCACGTATCCTTGACGTCAACTAGACCCGGTCCGCTTTCCATCGGGCAGGCGTCAGTAGCTTACATTGGTGACTGATTGTGGATCTGTTGGTCACGGTGGATATTGACTAGGGGGGAAATTTTCTACCCTTTTTTTTTTCTGCCCTTTTTTTCTGTTCCCATCTCGAACATGCTGCAAGTGATTCTTCTCGTTGCCAGTTGGTTCGCGATTTTCGCCCAATCGTGTGGGGCTCGCGGTCTAGATTCTCTGCTTGCTGGAAAATTGCTTCAGCCACACGCCCACGTGGAGATTCATGAGAATTGCTAAGCATGTGGATCTGAGCAAAGGGGGGGGGGGTGTGGACGTAAACTTCCATCCATGGGACGGGAATGGATGACTGATGAGAGAAAAGAGCGGACGCCGGACGGGATTCAATGCAGGGCCTGTGGTCTTTTCTCGGCAATGAGGTTTTGCTGCGAGCTTTGTGAACATTCAGGACGGTGGGCCGGAGATATGCTGCTCTCTCTCACCAAGCCCGGCGCCGATGAAACTGCCGTGACTCCAGGTCCCAGTCCAAGTCCATGCGGCTCTGATTTTAGCTCAGAGACGGATGATGTGACGAACGTTTGTTGTTCCCAAACTGCCGTGGTTCATGAAGCGTTCCCGAACCCACCCCGGCCATCTTGACTCGTCTGAACTGCGTTTCAACGCCGGGGAGCGATCCCGCTGTCGGACGTGGCTGCGGAATGGTTGCTGTTCTTCATCGGTTTCGAGATCGCCGGGGGCCGCCACGGGACGGACGGGGGGTCCACATTTGATGCAAGGGATGGAAGCTGTATGACCTCAAAGTTGTCTGCCATCTAAAGAAAATATTCTTGACCAAGCCCACCGGTCTCAGATCATGTCCTGAGGTGGTGTACAGAAGAGATGTCTATCTCGAGACGTCGCTCGCGGCGCTGCCGGATAGATTTCGACCTTTGGCTCGGCTGAGCTTTCAGCTGAGCCTCAGCTGTCGGGGGTATGGGTTTGGGGAATGTGGATTGGGTTTTGGTTCGGGGCTGCTCCGCGAACCTGGATCAGGACCACGTACAGAATCATATTTTCTTCTTCTAGATATATATGAGACGTCTTGCTTCAGAGCGCCCCATGTCTTTGCACTTAATTTGGCTCCGGGGCCGCGGTTGAATGTCTGAGAGAAGTAAAATGACAAACAAGGCATGCATAGGTACATCGAAAGCGTGGAAATGAACTCCAAAAAGGGGGGGAAAGAAAGAAAATAAACAAACCGCAGTATCGCGAGCATTCCTCTTCTTTGCCGAGCAGGCTTCCTGAGTGGTCGAGCACCCGAACAGCAGCCTGGATCCCCGGTCTCTCCATCTCTCTTCCTGCGGTATACCCGTTGCTTATTTTGGTACACGAGGCTAGCCGACTTTTGTCTCGTGTTCTGGTCCAGTGGTTCCTGGTTGTCGGGAACACTACTGCTTTTATGCTTTTGTGTGTAACGTCTCATCCCCAAGCCCGTGCCTGTGCATCTCGGCCGATGGCCATTGTGAAGGTAGGTCCGGGATTTCTATTGCAGAGCCGGTGAAGCGTCGGTCATCGCTAGGAGATGATAGGTGTGGAAGTGAGCTATGATCCTCGGTTTACCGGCAGTGGTGTATGCCTCCTTGAATCGGCGGTCAAGTAGCCAGCAAAATCATCATTTGCCTCTCATAACGATGTCAGCTAGACTGTACCATATATGGCCATTATCAAAGCAGCTGCTGTGTTTGTGATATGAAGACCTTATTGATCATGCATTTTAAGTGATTGCTGATGCTTTGTGGCAAGCAATAGAATCCGTGAGCACAAAGGCATCACCGAACCTGGGATAGCTTTAGATCCAAAAGGCTTGGTAATGTGCAATGGTAACAGGTCATTTCGTCAAAGGCCATTTTCATGAGATATGGGAATCGGAAAATTGGTGTGTTTCCGAGATACCAAACGGCTGCATGCCCCCTCAAAATGACGATGATAAAAGCAAGAACGATCAGGCCTCTGCTCCGCGTTCATTCTCATGCTTCACGCCAGATCAGCTAAGATAGAGACCATTATCCAATGATGCTCAAGAGCCTTGTTACCTTGCCTTTAGTGACAAAGCATAGTTGGTCTTGAGGACCCTCCTACAATAGAGACCGTCCAGAATGTAAGATCATCATGCTCGCATCATCCATCACGGCATCGTCATTTCTGTGCCCGTTCGTATTCGTAAGTACAGAGTGAGGAACCCCTGGCCGATCCCCTGCTCCATAAGGAAACTAGAAACTGTACGCCTCGGCAGGTACGAACCGAATCCTACCGTACCCATTTAGTCTTTCTTCTAGCTCGTACATCGTGATGCTCGTGGCAGACATCTCCTGCACCAAGGGGGACTGAAGGCAGTCTTGGCCGAGAGGGACAGCTGGCTAGGTTACGGCGATGTTGAAAGGCGGTATTGGTTGGAAACTGGCCGCCGCCGTCGTGACGTTGTTGGTTTCGAGTGGGACTCCGAAGACTTAGAGTGTAGAGCTGTATCTTCACCAAATTCTCTGGCTCAGAGCGCCCCACAACCGACAACTTAGTCCGGATAATTCCTGACCATAGAAAATTCGTTTCAAATCAATATGTCAAAGACGATAAATAAGTTACAGTCCAGCTGTATGCGTAAGAAAAGCCTATGAAGACGGAGCGCAGTCCCTCCCCCTTTATTCATTTACAACAGCCGATATTCTAGAGCCGTGCTCCCAGGGCCGAATAGTACAGAGACTTAGAGCCATCTACATAAGTGGGCACGTAAGACCAGCAGCAGCAGTAAGAGACCTGATCTTGCGGTTTCAAATCTGTACTGAGAGCTTCCGAGAATAATGGAGCTTACCAGTCTAACTGGATCATTTGTATGGGAACAAAATACGTCAGCAGCTATACAACAGCAATAAAGCAGCAAGTGAGCGGGGGAGATGGCCTGGTTGTGTCGATGTTAGGGGTCTATATGAACACCTTACGTATCAGGGCATCTCTTTCTTTCCTTTTGATTTTGACCAGACACACAACATAACCTTGAGGTATTAATCTCAAGAAATACGTATATGTCAGCGTACGCTATTGAAGGGAAATCACTGAGAGGATTTTATATAGGGCAAGCTTTTTCCGCACGTAGTGCATAAAATACATCCAAACTAAGCAATCTTCAGATGATTTGCTCAATATGAATCTACTTTGATAAAGCTTCCATGCGCTCCATTGTCCTCTTTCTCACATGTGAGTTGAGTACTTTCGTGTCAAAGTCCCAAAGCCTTAAACTTGATTTCCAAGACAAGTCCGGTGGACTTTCGTATAAACGGTGATGAACAAACCATTCCCATCGACTTGGTCTAAATGTGAGTCAAACATCGCCAGAGAGAATGTCTCACACGTTTGAAGACTACGGACCGACACGCATTTTCTCACGTTAAGCGAGGGCTTGCGGCGTCTTCAACCTTATTGATTTACATTTACCCCGAGCCCCTCTGGATGGATTGGCTCTGCGTAACCTCAATAAGTTCCCAAAGCAAATCTAGATCAGAGGGGTGGACATACCCGCACATGTAACAAAGCAGTCTGTGTTTATTTCCCGCTCACGCTCCTTTACTTGGTTCTCACGAGTACGACGGGAGCATAAACGGTAATATAGGATAAGTCACTTACATCCATCTTTTCCTTCCCTTATGCTCCCTTACTTTACACTCACGAATATAAGAGAGAGCATGAACGATAACATAGGACATATTAACCACGTCCATCCTGCCCCCCCTACGCTCCCTCACATAGCTCACACGAATACGAACGAACGGGAGCGTGAATGAAGATGTGGAATAGACATTATTCTCTATGCAGGGGTTCTCAACATCAACTAAGCTTCATCACCAGAGGCAGGATAATAAGACCATCGAGCATTGTTGGACAATGGTTCCCGAACCAATTGGTTTGGGGTTCGCGGGGAGTGAGCGAGAGCGGAACGTGACGAGGCTCAGTTGCTCTCCTTTAATACTGCTTGCTGGTCGTTTTGAATCGGTGAGCCTTGGAGCTGGTGGGTGGCACCGTTTATCTCAAGCTTTCTGAAACGAACAAGTTCAAGCTGTGGTGACTACTAAACATCATTCCTCAGAGGCCATCGTGGTCAGAAGTTCTTGAAGACTTTGTTGTCTATTGGGTATTGTTTTGTCTGTCCCACACAAATCAAACCTACGCCAGTATGCAAGTTCCCATCTCAAACAGCAAGTGACTTTTCCTTCTCCCCTCCCACACAATCTCACGCATTGAGCTTCTGCTTCGTCCTCTTCCTCTTGCCACCAACCTCCCTCCCCTCCTCGAGCTCCAACAACGCCTCCCTCTTCTTCTCGCTCACAATCTTGAGCGCGTCCCTGAGGACCCTCGTCTCCAGATTCACCCCTTCCTCCTTCCACGCCTCCATCTCCCTGCCCACACGCGCCTCAATCGCCAACACGAGCTCGACGTCCCTCTGCCCGACAAACGTCACCGCCTCGCCCTTCCGCCCCGCACGCGCCGTGCGACCGACCCTGTGGATATAATCGTCCGGGTTCCGCGGGATGTCGTAGTTGACGACGAGCCCGACCTCGGGGATATCCAGACCTCTCGACGCGACGTCCGTCGCGACGAGGATGCGCGCCGCCGCGGCGCGGAAGCGGCCCAGGTTGTCGACGCGCTGGCGCTGCGGGAGGGCCGAGTGCAGCGAGGTGACGCGGTGGTCGAGCATGCGCAGCAGGTGGTGCAGGTAATCCGCCGTCTTTGTGCGGTTGCAGAAGATGATGACGGACTTGTCCTCGTTACCGTCCGTCAGGAGGAAGGTGTGCAGGTAGTGCTCGCGGTGGGTGACGGGCACCTGGAGGTGCATCTGCGAGAGCGTGGCGGGGATGGCGAGGGCCTGGGTGTCGACCTCGCAGACGAAGACGGGTTGTTTTCCGGGCTTCAGGGGCATGTCTTTGAGGGCGCGGACTTCCGGGGTGATTGTGGCGGTGAAGAGTAAGGTTTGGCGCTTCGAGGAGGGCGGGAGGACGGAGAGGCACTCTTCTACGTCGGGGATCATGCTGCCTGGGCCGGTGCCGTCAAGGAGGCGGTCGGCCTCGTCGAGGACGACGTATTTGACGCGGCGGAGGCCGCAGATGGTGTCTTCGCCCGAGGTGCGGATGTGGTCGGCCAGACGGCCCGGCGTGGCGATGACGACGTGGGGACGTTGCGCGAGGGCGATGGCCTGGGAGCGCATGTCGGAGCCACCGGTGACGAGGACGATTTTGAGGCTCTGCGGGGAGGAGATGGCCTTGAACTGCTCGAAGATCTGCAGGGCGAGCTCGCGGGTGGGGGTAAGGACGACACCGAAGATGGCGGTGGGATCCTCGGCCCATTTCTGAAGGATGGGCACGGCGAAGGCGACCGTTTTACCGGAACCCGTCCTGCTTCCGCCGATGCAGTCCCGGCCCTTGAGGATCTCTGGTATGCAGCCCTTTTGAATGCCCGTCGGTCTCTTGATTGCCATGTTGGCCAGCGACTGTACGAGCCATGGCCGTACGTTTATGGCGGAGAAGGTGGTGTTGGGGTCTGTTGGCGCAGTGATTGTGTTTTGCGACGGCGCTGCTGGGCGTGAGGTCTGGGGAGCTTGGTCGACAGCGGCAGCGGCGGCGCGCTTGAATCTTGAGGGGGCTTGAATGGTAGACACGACAGCCTTGAGCTCTTCCTCCTCATCGTCATCATCGTTCTCGATATCTTCGAGATCGGGCTCGGCGGTGGGGTCGGTTCTCCGTCTCTTGCGCGAGGCGGGACTGTCGAGGTAGTCGGATTCGGACTCGGAGCCGGAAGAGTTGGCGGGAGAGGATACCGGAACCTCATCTTCGGCCGCACGGCCCGGTCGTCTGGGGGTTGCAGAGAACGGCATTGAGGGCGATCAGTCTCTGTTCTGTTTTATGCCGGTTGTGACGCGATTTGATCGTGGACCTGAGACTTGTAGCATAAAGTTTGTGATGGTGATGGGCTCGACTGCAGCAGCTGCACCAACGTCTGAGAATTTTCGGGCAAGGGTCCAAAAAGTTTTTGGTTGCAAAGTGCCAAAGCTTCGGCGCGGCGGGCAGGTGGGGTGAATGGTCCAGGGGGCTATGGCGTGGGGCAGACCAATTGGAATGGAAGGCGGTCAGTACCAGGGCTCCGCATTGAGACGGTAGACGCGCGCCTAGAGAAACGGAGCTACGCAGTTACAGTGCCTTAGTGAGTGACCTTAGTGAGTGACCGGGGACTCCAACGGCGCGAGTGACAAGGCAAATTGGCCAGTAAGAGGACAGCAAGCGAGAATACGTATCTGAGCCGACAAAGTTGAGGTATCATCCATCCGTCCTTCATTCAGTGGCCAAAACAAAAGCCCAGCTCCCTATCATAGGGAGCCTACGAAAAATCCGAGGAGGCTCTTACCAGCCTCAGGTGTAATGATGCAAGGATTTTTACAAGAACAAGGTGGGACTCGAACCCGGAACCTATGTGTGCGGAGTTATTCCTTCAAGTTCGCCAACTTTCTCCGCTACGACATAGGCCGTGGTGATGATACCAGATGAATTTGTTGATTATAGCGGTAATCGACGGGGGCGGCGGACGGTTGAGTGTGTGAGCCTGAATTTTATGATGGTGTGTAATACCTATCAGAATGCATCTACGTGGACTGGACACGGTCAAACTTCACACACCTGTCATCTCTAGACTGCATATTTCATCCGTAGGCAACGTCAACTTTCCCCCTCCGACTCAACCATCTGTGCGTCGGGCAGAGGGAAAGAAAGCATACATCCAGCGCCTTTCCAAGATGAGTCGAGCCGATGCTGGAGTGTCTAGCCAGGACCATGCTCGATACAGAAGAGCCACAGAGGCCCGGAAACTTTCAGGGCTGAGGCTGATGACAGCATAACGTTGCTTCCCGCCCAGGGATGGGGCCAGCATAGACGCAGTTTCCGCCTTGTGCCCCTTGGCGGGATCCAGGGATCTGTTCCTGGAACGAATGCAGATGCTGGTGCATGAGCAGGAGCCTCGGACACCGACGAGCAGAAGTCGAGCAGACACTCGCCCACTTTGCGTTCTCGGTGTCTGCTTTATGGTCTGTCGGATGATTAATCCGATTCTGACGGGCTCTGGATGTGAAGAACGCCTGCGGAGAACATAGTGAGGGGTTGAAAAGCCAAATCGCAGCCGGATGTCGTTTCCTGACTGTCGGAAGCATAGAGGCCAGCTGTACCGACAATCCAACTCAATAAGATGGACTCGGATGATTTGGATTTCTCCCTCTCGGACGTGCCCGTCTGACATACCGCTGGTTCTGACTTGACCTCGCAGCTGGGACCCAATAGCCCGGATTTGACAGACGAATTGTCATAGCCGGACAACGTCAGCAGAACTTACGCCGTAAGCCTGCCTTCATGTTTTGCTTCCATCTTGCCTCACTCTCTTGTCTGGTACTCGAGAGGTGTGACTAGTCAGGCACGCCGCACGCGTTCCAGGCTGGCAAAGTGGGCATCGGAAATCCCCCGACCAAGACGATGCAACTGCGATACACCACGTAGGTGTTTTGGGGCAGGGCCTTGAAAAACCGGGCCTTCGTCTGATCAGGGTCCAGGTCCAGCGGTGCGGATAATGCGGTGAGGTCTCGAATCCGTGGCCCGTCAAACACCACAGTCATCACCTTAATCGCTTGTCGGCTCATCGCCGTCGCCGGACCGGCCACAAGGTAGGATGGTGAGAAAGAGGCAATAACCGAACAAAACTCTTCCCGTGATTCGGACCCCAATGGTCGTGCGTGCTGCTTGTCTGCAAATGCTTTTCCCCTCATCGGGGAACCACCCTATTCGTGCCGCATCGCCGGTGGAAGAGGCACAGCAATAAGAACGGCATGTCTGCAACCACCAGTTCGCCGCCTGGGTCTGCAATCAGCTGACTGGAATTTCTCAAACGGACTGCGATGCCGACGCTGTTGGGTCGTAATGCCAAAAGATTTGGAAGCCGCGGCAGATGTGCCGTGTCAACGTGTGCCGTATACAGGAGCCACATTCAACAGCATGTGCCGAAAAGAGCTCCGTGTGCTGCCCCCGTTTCTTCTTCTTCTCTCCTTCAGATGCTGCCGCCGGAAAAGCCCCCCATTTCAGCCAAAACGGCGCTGTCAAATGGCTTATGCGAGTTTCATCGACACACCGACCTCTTGTGTAGGAATTGGACGGATGGAGATTGGTTGCCGAGAGCCCGCATTAATATGTTCTTTGATCCTGCAGTCATGTAGGGGACACCGTGGGGATGGTGTGAGGATGTGAATGTGACGGGATGAGTGTCGTTGGCTCAGTATTCCCGCCAGCTATTGGCCCGAGACCAGCTAGAATTCATGGTCAACCGATGGGTTGTCGGATACCTAGAGAGAAAAGCAACGGCCAATCCCGCGGAGAGAGCCAGTATGTGAAGCAATGGATAAGGGCCCGACAGTTTCTCAAATTCGTCAAACAATTGCGTCCCACCCATCAGACAGTCCATCGCCCTGGAAGGACAGAAGAGTCAGGTTGCATCGGGGACGTCTCCCGGATTGTGCATCTCGAGCTCATGCAGAGGACGGTCGGAAATCAGTGCAGGGCCCAGCTTGGTGCGTGCGACGGTGCGACGTGCGGCGTGCGGCATGCCCACGATGGCACGAAGAGATGCTTGGTGCTTGGCCGGGGAGGGGCCAAGAGGGGGGAGCAACCCGCAAGGAGCGATTGCAGGGCAGGGCATCGAATGGCAGCCCAAGACATGGACGACACACCACCGACGACAGCGCAACCCCTGTCTCATCGCTCATGCCCCCCATGGCTCTGCCCTCTCAAACTTCGTCGCCGTACGGGTGTGTGTAACTGGTCAGGCGTCTGCCCATTGTCCATTGCGCAGCGCCAGGAAATGGGCGTTCCGAGTGGGCAGAGCTGCTCTCTGTGGTGACGGTTGGAAGCCCACTCATCACACCGTGCTTTGTGCTGGAGAGCGTGACTGTTTGGAGGTGGTGTACTGTGTCGGGTTTGTTTGTGTTGGGCGGTGACGAGGTGTATACATTTCTTGATTCTTGGTCAAACACGCGTCCTGATGACGGGTGCCTTGCAACGGTCGATTCGGAACAGCGGCATTGGCTTTGTCTTCCACCAAACAGTCCTTATTCGAGGATTGTGCGGATAAACATAGGCGCACAGAAGCGAGTTGATGGTGACTGACTGACTCTTGTGCAGTGGATCGGACAGCCTCGAAGTTGTATCGGTAGAAGCGTACAAACGGAGACCATTGTCGTCTCCAACCCAATTCAGAGTCTACAAATCCAGAGTCCAGACCCCAGGGCCGATTCTCATGCTAGAAGATAATCGACTGGGGAGGGCCAGAACCTCAGACGACGCAAGGGACTCCCGTAATGTGGCGCATTTTTCTGCCCCAAGACGCTGGAAGGGTTTAAAAGAAGCGACCGAGCGCACTTTGGTTTTCGGCGCAGCTTCGATTGATGTTCTGATTGACTTTTTGTCGTCGTCGGTGCTGTTCTGTCGTTCGTGTAGGTGCAAGATGAGGCAAGATGGATGGAATGTGTAAGGCGGGCAGTACCTTACTTACCACAGGTACCTTAGTAAGGCAAGCTGTACTTACCTACCTACCTACCTTGGGAGGGTAGATTCGCTACCAGGAGGTGAGGTGGTTTACAGTATCAAAAAGGTACAGGAGAACGATGGCTCAAACCCGGCCACTTTATGTAGCTGTCCCGCAGTTTGCACCACACGTCGAGTGCGCGATCCCAAAAAGATACATTGGCTCCATTACGTGGGCCTTGTACTTCCTCCCATCTCAATACCTTGCCTTTACCTCCACCTACCTTACCTCAGGGCAGTCACCCAGTGCATTCAATCATCAGGCCCTGAAAAGGCCCCCAGTTTACCCAGAGCCCCCTCCCCGTTTTCCATTGGAACTTGGCCTTGGAATTAGCGCCCAAGCTCGTCCCCGTCCCGCCGCTCCCCGCCTTTTTTGCCCACTTGAATCCCACTCCATTCACTCACTTTCCTGTCGTCTTTCTCAAAAGGAACCAAGGTCCAAGGGCTCGCCCGTCGCCACTGCGCCGTTGTCGTTTGCTCTTGCATTGCTCCCCTCTCTCTCTCCGGTCTGCTCAAACCTCAAAGCCGGTCCCTTCATTCCGAAGAGAAACAGCAGGAAACCTCCTTCTTCCGTCCCCCGGTCCCGATACAGACCTGGAACTACCACCTCGATCCATATCGCCTCTGCTCATCTTACCTTGGGTACCGGGACGTCACCCGCGCACCCCAAATCTACTCTCTCTTCCACCTCAATACCCATCTTCTGAATCCTGCGGGGAAAGCTATCCGCCGACGTTTTACTTTCCAGTCTCTCGCTTCCAAGCCTTCTGATCTTCTGATCTTCAACAAAACGCCCCCGATAGTCTTATTATTTACTCAGCCTCGAACCAGAGGATCAAACGCTCGGCGGCCGTCGCTTTCCAACTTGATCTACGCTACGTCAGCTCCTACGAAACTATTCGACCACGCTAGTTTCTGTCTTTCTGCCTGTGCCCAGTACCGCAGCCGTCACACCTCGACTTACCTCGTCAAGTAGTTTGGCTTGGCTTCGGCCCTTTTTTGCGACTTTGTGGCATCCTACGTCTGGGGTACAACTCTCTCCAGCTTCAACCGCATCGCTCCGGTCTACTCAACTTACCTCCGTTGCCATGGCCGATCAGAATCCCTCACAACCTCAGACCATGGAGCCTCCTCACCAGGTAAGCATGTTCGCCTGATGAGCTCTTTAGATGGCCTCTGTAGCGAATCGTACTGATTGTTTCACGTAGGCACCGCCCAGTGTCCCCTCTCCTCTGTCCACGCCCGGTTCCGTCCCCATGATGAACTCGCCAGTTCCTCTCCTTCGCCCTGCCATTCCCGGCGGCCGAGGTGGAGGTGCCCGAACACCTAGACTCGGTCTCGCCATCCCCCCATCACCAAACGCGAAACCCGTCGGCGGGCAAGCACCTCAACCCGTAAACTCACGACCACCTCTCCCGACCCTTCACCTGGCTACGCCGATGGGCAGCCAGTCGACGCCTTACGAGCAACCACCTCGCGTGGGAGGCGTAGGACAATCTGCCAGCGGCGGTAGCGAGAGCAGTGCGGCACACTCGAGATCTGGAAGCTTCGGCCCTCTGGATGGTCGAGCTAGCAACCCCACGTCAGCTGGCTCTCAGTACTCGGCACTGTCCTTTGCCTCGCAATATGGCTTTGCGCGGCCTCAAGGAACTCCCGACCCCTCGTCCGCGGTGGGATCAATCTACTCTGAGCGGAGCGAAGGCGGTGTCGGTATGGAACGGGACGGCAGTTTGCAGGGTCTAGAAGCTTTTGACAAGCTGTCATTAGAGCGGGGCAGGACGCTGGATGTGGAGGAGCTCGACTCCGAGTCGTGGAGGGTCGCGAGTATGGAAAATCGGATCGAGGAGCTCGGCAGTCTCGGCGAGGGTGCCGGCGGAGCCGTCACAAAAGCCAAATTGAAGGGTGGAAAAACCACATTCGCCCTCAAGGTGCGAACGCTTCATTTCCCACACCGACAAAATTGGAGACTAACATGCCCAGGTAATTACCACAAATCCCGATCCCGACGTTAAGAAGCAGATTGTACGCGAGTTGGGTTTCAACAAAGAGTGCGCGTCGGAGCATATCTGCCGTTACTATGGCGCCTTTGAGGACTCGACTACGGGAACGATCTCAATCGCCATGGAGTTTTGTGAAGGCGGTTCCCTGGACAGTATTTACAAGGAGGTTAAGAAACTCGGTGGACGGACAGGCGAGAAGGTTCTCGGCAAGATTTCCGAGGGCGTTCTGCGGGGACTGACGTACTTGCACGGCATGCGTATTATCCACCGAGACATCAAGCCATCCAACATTTTGCTCTGCAGGAATGGCGATGTCAAGCTATGCGACTTTGGTGTCTCAGGAGACTTTGGTACTAAGGGTGAAGCCAATACCTTCATCGGCACCAGCTACTACATGGCTCCCGAGCGCATCACCGGCCAATCCTACACCATCACCTCTGACGTGTGGTCGACTGGCGTAACTCTGCTGGAAGTGGCCCAACATCGATTCCCCTTCCCGGCCGACGGCACAGAGATGCAGCCACGAGCTGGGCTGATCGACCTTCTCACCTACATTGTGCGGCAGCCGATACCAAAGCTCAAGGATGAGCCGGATGCCAACATTTTCTGGAGTGACAACTTCAAGTATTTCATCGAGTGCTGGTGAGTGACGAGAGTTTGGTATGAATCATGAAATCATGTACTGACCTATCAAAGCCTGGAGAAGGAACCCACAAGGCGGGCGAGCCCATGGCGGATGCTCGAGCACCCGTGGATGGTGGAAATGCGCGCGAAGCGTGTCAACATGGCCAAGTACCTGGCTCAGGTTTGGGGCTGGGATACCAAGCAATGATTGGCTGATAGGCACAATGTCGTGACGACAGTAACGTTGTTACATACGGCGAAATCACGGCGACACGTCAACCACAAAGCAGCAAAAAGTACATTGTTGCTCCTTGGCAGGATGACCACGGCAACCTGGGCCAACTATCGAGGAAAGCATCAAACACACCACAAGCGAAACATGAACAAAGAACCGAGTTCAAAGGGAGACAACTCTACAGCGATGAAGCAAGCGGAAGAAGGAGGCCATTTTTCATGATTTAATAAGCGACGGGCATTATGGGCACAGGATTGCCAATGTTACGCCTTCAGGGGGTCAGATTTACTTTCTGGATATATGTAGCGGAGGCAGACGTGTACCTGGACAAGCGGCGGTGGCGGCGGATATTCAGCGAAGACTGTAGGCATTATTGTGTATCCAAGCGATTGTCTATTCGGTTTGGAACAATACAAACAAAAAAATTCTGCCAATGCTGGTTGGGGTTTACCCTTTTTCTATGGCCGAGGGAACAAACTAAGTGGGTTGGTAAGAGTAGGATTGGCCTTGTAGGTGGCATTGTACATATATATGCTTGATTCAACGAATCTCTCCGAGGGGGTATCTAGTCTACAACCATTTACATGCCAAGTAGATCACCTTTTTGAGCCGTGAAGCGGTGATGCCTTTTGTTTTTTTTGTGTCAATCTTTCCCTTCTGTGAAGTAAGGTATTTCATGATTCCGCAGTCGTAGTCTTGGAAGTCTCTGGTACCTCGGCAGCCCCGGGGGCAGCAGCGGTAGTATCAGTCATGACAGCAGCAGCGGCAGCGGGGGCAGCCGTAGGAGCCGCGGCGACTTCGGACTCGTCGACGCCCATCAGTTCCCGCAGCGCGACAGTGGCGTAGGCGCTCTTGGGGAGCTGGAAGGTGACCACGACGGCCGTCTTTGTCTTTTCGGGGGTCGACGGGGTACCGTTCGGATCGGCGGCGGTGGTCTCCGCTTGCTGCTCCGGCTCTTGCTCCTGCTTCGGTTCCGAGGTCCGTGCCGGCGCGTCTTGCATCGGCTCATCCGCCGTAGCTTCGCCATCCGCTCCTGCCGCACCCGCCTCGGTCTTGACCTTCTTCGCCGCATCTTGATCCTCGGCGTTCTCATCCTCCTGACGGCCCCGCTTCTTCCCATTCCCACCACGCCCGGCTGCTGCGCGGATACGGTCCATGTCGGTGGGATGCATCTGCTCCTCGCCGTCCTCGTACGCGCGGACCTCAAAGCTGGGTTCCGAGAGAAAGCGCACGACGACCTTGCGGTACGCTCCCGGCAGGCTGAATTCGCGGTGGCGGCGGAGCATGTCGTGCGGGTCGAGGCCGCCGTTGTCGCGCATGAAGGTTGTGTAGAATTCGCCGATGGCGTTGGTGGGGTAGGCCACGGCGTGGCCCGGGGAGGGGAGGACGATGTCGTGGATGGTGTAGGTTCCCGAGGCGGCTTCTTGGGCGGTGAGGGCGCGGGCTGGGGCGGAGGAGGAGTCTGCGTCGTCGTCTCCTCCTTCGTTGTCTGCGTCTGCGTCTGCATCGGCGGAGGAAGACTCGAGGACGAGGTCGCCTTCGACTACGTTCTTGCCGTAGAGGCGCCAGCGGTGGCTTGCGGCGTGGTTCCACACGTAGGACTGGTAGGCGTGGAGGTACATGTTGCGCAGGCCGCGGGTGATGCTCGTGAGGGCGCCGGTGAAGTCTCTTCGGGACGGGGCGGTGGAGCGGCCGAGGTGGCGGATGAGGCTCGCCTCGGCGGAGAAGCGGCGGGGCAGGTGGGAGAGGGCTTCCTCTGCGGAGCCGCCGTCGCGGAAGACCTTGCAGGCGCGGTGGCGGTTCAGCTCGTCGCGGGCGTGACCCTGATCCGGGACTTCGCCCGCGAGGGCGCGTTGGGCAATGGCCTCGTCGTAGTAGAGAATCGCGTTGACGGCGGCTTCAAAGTCGCCTTGCAGGAGGAGCCGGCCTACCTCGTGGGTGCCGATGGCGTGGGTGCCGAAGCGTTGGTGGCCAAAGTAGTTTATCCAGCCCGGGTTGTGCATGCTCGCCATGGCGGCCTCGACGGAGGCGCGGATTTGGGAGGAGCGGTCGGCGGGGGGAAGGTCGGGGTTGCCGGCGACGAGGCAGTCTTTGAGGGCGATGACGAACTCGTTGCCCCTGTGGGCGCCGAGGTGGATGGGCGAGTGGGCGTAGCGGTAGTCGCCGACGGTGACGCCAAAGAGGCGGGCGCGAAGGAGGGCGTCGGCGCGCTGGCCGCGGACGGAGCAGCGCTGCGTGGTGGCGGCGCGGCGGTCTTTTGTGCCTGCGGTGCCGATGGCCTGGGGTTTGATGCGGAGGGCCTTGGAGATTTGGTGCAGGGCGTCCATGGTGTCGCGGTTCTCCTTGTAGAGGGTGAAGTGGAGGTACTCGCCCTCGCCGGGGGCCACGGCCTTGGGCTGCTTCTTCTTCTGTTTGTTGTTCTCGCGGTTGTTGTTGTTGTTGTTGTCGCGGCCGCCACGCATGCCCTTGCCCTTGCCGCGAGGGGGCGGAACTCGGGCGACGATAGCGCCCGTGGGATCGGTAGTGGTGTCGATGGTGGAGTTGAAGATGCGGCGGACGTTTTGGTGAAGCTGGGAGCGCTTGTCCTTGTCGTCCATGATGGGGGATGTGACGGGCTCGGTTTTGGCCATCTTGTCAGCGGATATCGTCTTGTAGATGGTGACGAGCTGGTTGGCGAAGTCGTCGTTTGTGAGGGAGGCGAGGAGGGCAATGTCCTCAGCGGGGACTTCGGGGACGGCCGCGGCGGGCTTCTCGGCGGCTTCTCCAACTTTCGATGGCTCTTCTGGCTTCGGCTCTTCTTCTCCATTCTTCTCTTCTACTACGGGAACAGCAGGTGCAGGAGGTGCTGGTGGAGGCGGCGTGGTCTCCTTTGGCGGCGGGGGAAGGCGAGTTTCTGTGAGGTGGAGGACGGAACCGTCTTTGTTAATTTCGTAGACTTGGAAGTCAGTGTATCTGAGGGGTTGTGTTAATGGAGAAGTTTTATGAGGCAGATAGAAGGACTTACCTTTTGCGCATGTCTCCAGTCCAAGCGACCATACTCGGCGCAATGCGCTCAGTGATGCCGAGGGACGCATCAAGGCGCGTGCCGTTAGAGCGGCGGACTTCAGCCGCCATTGTGATCTCAATTGACGTGTAATGAGAATTGGTCTGTTCTCTCGAGTAAAAGGAAGTAAAACTCGGATGAATTGATGAGCCTGAGTGTGTGAGGATGAGATGCAGGATGAAGCTACATCGCGGGGCCAATTGCCATATTTTCAGGAATTGCCAGCAGAAAGTGGTAAATGGGATGAAATTTGGCAGGCGGTGTAATTCGGTCCCACCAAACCTGGCTCATTTGGGAAAGCGGTCAGCCTCGCTCATGCACTCAAACCAATTCTCATGTGAGATTCACTCACTTTCATTTCACTTAAAGGTACGATTGACTTTCGTGAGTTTTTAATTTCTTCTCTTTGCATTACAAAGCTACTTTCTCAGTCCACCTTTAGTCTCAAAATATCAATCGCATTGCCGCCCATGATGGCCTTGGCCTGCTCGCTTCCCTCACCCACCGCCACAGCAACGGCATCAGCATTCATGCTCACACTCTCCCACTCGCCCTGCTCATCAGAGGTCAATGGCGGGAAGAAGGGATGATCAGTGCCAAACATGAGTCTATCCGCTCCACTGGCATCGATGGCCGCCTTCAGCCCAACCTCTGAGTAGATGACGGCGTCGAGGTAGATCTGCTCCTTGAGCACGCTCCAAATCGTCCGGCGGCCCTTGCCGACCTTGCCCTCGCGCACCAGCTGCCCGTCGTGCATGATGCAGCTCTCGATGCGTCCCGCCAGGAAAGGCAGCGTGCCTCCGCTGTGCGCCAGAAGCATGCGCAGCTCTGGGACGTCATCGAAGACGCCAGCCAGGTACATGCGTGCCACGGCGATGGTGGTCTCCATCGGGAAACCCAGGGCCAGGGGAAGAACGTGGCCGTACTCGTTGCTCGCCCTGGGACCCCAGACATCGTTGGGCAGCCCGTAGTGCGGGTGCAGGAAGATGGTCAGGCGGGCGGCGGCGATGGCCTTGAAGATGGGCAGCAGGTCCGGGTCGTCGAGGCCCTTGCCGAGCCCCGAAGTGCCGAGGATGATGCCGCGGCAGTACTTGAGGGCTTTGACGTGGTTGATGGCCTCCAAGATGGTCTCGAGTGATGCCGTCAGAGGCAGAGCAGCAAAGAAGAAGAGGCGGCCCGGGTGTGCGGCGCACATGCCGTCGAACTCCTCGTTGACGCCCTTGGCCATGGCGCCAGATTCGGAGGCATCGATGAAGTCGAGCCACGGGTTCGCCAAGGAGATGACCGAGATGTTGATCTTGTGCGTGTCCATGAAGTGGACCTTTTGGTCGAGCGAGGCGTAGTGAGAGGTCAGCGGCCGGCCAGGAGGCTTCGCTGAAGGATCCTTGGTAGCCTCATCGAGGGCTTGTTCCTCCGAGGCCAGGAGGATGAGGCGCGGGTCTGGTGTTTGCGGGAAGCTGCGCACGACGGGAATGGTGGTTCTAGATTCGAGGATCTTGACGTAGGACGGGGGGTACATGTGGGTGTGGACGTCCACCACCGTCATGGGTGTTGATGAGGCCATTGTGAAATTGGACGATCTGATGACGTCCCTTTGCTGCCTTTCGTCTTCACTTGGAGCTGGTATTGAGATGACTTGAAGTACAGTCAAGTCAGTCTCGGTGATTGGTCTACTTGTCGTTAGCCAGTGGTTCAGCTTTGAGCTTTTAAAGTCATGATGCTGGGTCGACTTACAAGATGAAGACACTCACTTGTAGCTAAGATGGTAAGAGATCTCGGCTTATCTCTCCCGCAAGCCACGAACAGGAAAAGAACAGAATCTTGTTATTGTTGGTGTTGTGGTCTGTTTCCAAGTTGGAAGCTTTCCCAGGAGCACGAAAAGCTGTGTTGCCCCTCGTCTTCCTTTTTAAGAAGACAAGTACCAGTTACCCGACAAACTACATCTTTCCAGGAAGGTGATGAGGTCGCCATGACCCGCAACGCCTGGTTCCCCCTCCAATCCATGTTCCCCTCATATGCAAGCGTCTCAATGCACCGCATACCTCACAAAACCCCACACGCGGGCGTCTCCAAAGGTAAGTAAGGTAAGGTAAGGTACCTAGGCAATCCTTCCCTTGTCGATTATCTTTCTACTTTACCCCGCCGTTATCTCCAATCGTCTTTCCGCGCGCCGGCCTTCAACGCACCACCGGCATCTTATCGTCAGACTTTCTTTCTCCCCCCCTCCTCTCCAGTGTGAGACACTGAGGTACTGCTTACACAAAAGTATAACGTGTAGGAGCTCTCCGATGAACTTCCCACTCGTGCACCCGCGGACCCAGCCGGTCTTGTAAAAGGGTTCTCTCTTGAGTCCCTCCCCGTAATGCCCCGTCCTGGCCGGGGATCAACAAGGGGCAACGCCTGGCCCCGTCCGGAACTGATTAGACAGCGCCGGTGGTTGGCTGTTAACTTACGATGTTAATGCTCGGCCTCTGGTTGGCTGGGCCGCCGCCAGTTGCCCGCGACCAGGTACTTACACAACCTATCGTATCGACGGATAGATATAAGTCGCTCGGAACCTGTACCGCACGGATTTAGTAACGAACCTTATCGTAACTTCTTCCTCGAGATTACACCTCACCCTGATACATGTGATGCTCCCAAGTCTCAACTGACCACATTCATCTCTGAATCTCTCATCCATCCCCTCTCAACCCCAGTGAAGAAAGCAACAACTAGATCATCATGGCAACTCCAGCAGTAGACAAGGAGGGTCTCTTCATCCCCGTGAGTGACATCAGTGACGTACCTTCATCGTAATCGCATATACCTCATGCATCGCAAACTGACATCAACGTCAAGCTCATTGACTTCTCAGCTTTCCTCAACGGCAACGCCGCCAAGCGCAAGGAAACAGCAAAGCAAGTCCTCGACGGCTTCCAAAACGCAGGTTTCATCTACCTCGAAAACGTCCCCATCAGCCAGGACCTCCGCGCCGCCACGTTCGCCAAATCAGCAGACTTCTTCTCCCAGTCCGACGCCGTCAAGCAAGGCCTCGGCTGGACCACCCCGCAGGCCAACCGCGGCTACTCCGCGCCCGGCCGCGAGAAAGTCAGCAACCTCACCACCAACGAGGAGATCGAAAAGGTGCGCGCGGGGAACCCGGACCTCAAGGAGTCGTTTGAGATTGGCCGCGACGGCGAGCCGGACCACCCGAACCAGTGGCCCGTCGAGCGGGACGGCGAGCGCGTGGCCGGGTTCAAGACGCAGATGCTCGAGTTCTTTGGGCAGTGCAAGGCGCTGCACGTCGAGGTGATGCGCGCCATTGCTGTGGGTATGGGGTTGGAGGACGAGCGGTTCTTTGACGGGTATACCGACGTCGGGGACAACACGCTGCGTCTGCTGCATTACCCTTCCGTCGACCCCAACGTCTTCAAGGTGAACCCGGGTCAGGTGCGTGCTGGAGAGCACAGCGATTACGGATCGATTACGCTGTTGTTCCAGGATGACCGCGGGGGTCTGCAGGTGCGAAGCCCGAATGGGCGGTTCGTGGATGCTACGCCGATTCCTGGGACGGTTGTGGTTAACGCTGGGGATTTGCTTGCGCGGTGGAGCAATGATACTATCAAGAGCACGATTCACCGCGTCGTGGAGCCGCCGCGGAAGCCGGAGGACGGGGAGGAGTATCCTCCCCGTTACAGTATTGCGTAAGTGACTGGAGTGTATGTTGTTGAAACTTATGATGTGCTGACGATGATGAATAGGTACTTTTGCAACCCCAACTTCAAGAGTCATATCGAGGCTATCCCGGGGACGTACGCCACGGAGGAGGAGAAGAAATACGATGGTATCAACAGCGGGCAGTACCTCGTACAGAGGCTGACAGCCACCTACTAGCGTATTTGAGAACAGTAAACCAAAATTTGTAGTGAATGTTAAGAAGCGTATTGAACTTCATCACTAAGCTTTTGAAGCATCACATTCTGTTAAAGACTTCCCACAATTTCATTTCCGGAAGGGGAGTCTTGGTCTCTTCGGATCGAAGCTCAGAGGCCATGTTCTGCACCTGCCTTGGAAATACTCAAAATCAATGTATTGTCTTTAATGGCTCCAATCATTTTACGGTGTGATTTTGATCAGACTGAGTACAAAGATAGCACTGGTTAAACAAACTGAAAACGGAAGGTTTGTGACTTAATTTAAGAGAGACATGATAATGAAGAATACTATTGAATTGCATCGTATCGCAACAAATCCATTTCACACAAGGTAAAGGAACAACATGGCGTAACAAGTGATAGAATCCGTATATGGGACATAATGCCCTGTCCATGACCAAAGTTCCTCATTGTCTGTTGCATCGTCTGTCGTGGATTCAGTTCTGAAATCTCACAGAACTTTGGTCCACGCTTCGCCAATGAGAGAATCGCTATCGTGCACGATACCGAGGCCAGCGGATTGGCTTAAGTCTCTTTGTAGGTGTGAGGAAAGAATGTATACATTGAAAAGAGAATGAAATTACGAGACAGGCTTTATAGCGAAGGAGGTAGTTCAGAAGCAATAGGCCGTAACGTATAACGTCTTCCTTCCAGCTGGCTGTGTAACTCCTGCTATTCAGAGGCCAGGCCATGTAGGGAACCAGCATGACGAAGACATCATTCATGATGAGCAAATCACAGTAGTTCAAGCATGGGCGCATCGTGTTTCTATGAATGGGCGCAGACTTGTGATGGCCCTGGTGATGGGCATGGCATATTGGGCCAACGACTTGGTGTAAACGATTTTGAGAAGGAACCACTCCTGATCGAGGAACTTCTCTCGCTGAATCTTAACCTGAGGAACGCCAGCTTTCAGTGAGAAAATGTTCCTGAGGTTTGAAAAGTCGCGACGTTTCGAACGAGGTATCTGCCAGAGAAGCTGTTCATGCTGGTTGTCTGATACGGGTTTTCCCCTTAGCATGGGTATGGTATAGCAGACAAATGGCGGAGGTTTTAGCTTGAAAGAGAAGAAGGCATAGCGCGGATTCCTTTCTTCCAGAACAACAATGAACCCATCCCAATCACCGTCACTATCTCGTCGATTATCCATGGGAAATTTCTCGTAGTGAAGGAGGATTCGTGGCGAGCGCCATAAGTGATGATACCGAACACATACGGAACTCCATTCCTCCCGGTAAAGATGCTCTGGCTCCACCCCAACCAAACGTTCGGTCCTATCATCTGAGCCTTGAATTCGGATTGTGTATGTCAACCATTTGTGCCAAGGAGGTCCTCTATGACGCAAATTCTGCTGGTCCTTGTTTGAAATGTAGACAGTCATTTGTTGACATTTTTTCACAGCTTGCCAGGATAGAATGATGGGATCACCCATTGCCCGCTCATACTCGCCGGCGACATCGGTATGACGTAGTCTGACCGCAAGAATCTGGTCGAAACTGTTGTCCATCATGCAGTTGAGCACACCGTATGACACATTTTCCCCTTTGAGAACAGGAAGAGTGACACGCAGACCGCGAATCGTCATCTCCATGCCGAAAATGCTTCTTTTACAGAAATCCAGAGGCTGGGTTGAAGTCCACCAAGCAAACTCATCAGGGCATCGGGCCAACGCCCTTTCTTTTTGAGAGATGTAAAAGACCATCTCGTCATAGTGCGTTGCCGGCTTTGGCTTGTGTTTGCTGTTCGATGCCCATGCGAGTATCGAATCGTCGGAAGACTGCTTCATAATCTCAATCTGCAGCCTCTCAAAAGCCCTTTCCCCCTCGCCATAGAGCAGTGGCATATTAACATCAAATATCCCAAGAAGAGAGTATGCTATATCCTCTACTCTCGTTGTCTGCCGCCGAGCAGCCCACGACATCCGCATGGCGATCTTTGCGGAGTGGATAGCGGGGGATTCTTCATTTCTTTCGAGGAAATCGGTCGGTATACTGGTGATGGACTCGATCTTGGGCGCCAGTGAAGAGCGAGTGCCAAGGTTCTTCCACGCAGCGTCAAAGAACTCGACTGTCTTGGGGGCGAGAAGCTCCTGCAACGTCCAGCCTCTTGTGAACCACCGACTGCTGCCAAAGTGATTGACGAATGGCTCCGGGTACTCGTAGTCGTCTGGCTCACCTGATGACCATTCATCGTCATCTCAGTCTAGGTTCTTGTGGGGCTTGCCATCTTCGACGTAGGCCGGGCACTTCTCTAGCAGGACGTCTGAGAGGTAGGCATAACAGATGGAGGCCTCTTTGTACCACCGATACATCGAGTTGATAGCCTCGGAGAGCTCAGCGCTGCTCGTCTTGTCGATGCAACAGGTGTCTATCCATACCCATTCAAACCCGTTTTTGGCTGCTAAGCAGCAGAGACCGTTGATTTTTGTGTAGCCTCGCTTCTTGGTGTGGTCAGGGCATCCGAGTTCTTGGAAGGTGACCTCGTCGTCGCCCCAGGTGTGTGACAATATCGCATACTTTGGTACATTGACGACAAATTCTTGCAGCTTTCGTGTTTCAACGTTCAGGAGTCGCATGTCGTCAAAAATGTACGTGTTAATAGTGATTTGCAAGTTGGTAGATGTTTGTTTTTCGACAGAGAGTGGCTACGGCGTAAGTACGACTGCTGGCGGCCCAAAGTTACACAAACCCCGCGTGTAGTCATGCACCTCGCTCAGCCTCAGTAACTGCGGCGGACACGCTTGGTTGCCTGCATATTGATAAACCAATGAGCAGGCCCGGCGTGACAGGCGTTGGGTTCAAATCGGAAGATTAAACAAGAACAAAAGCTGGGCATATTTGGTTCTATGCTTATGACCTTGCCATCTTTACGTTAACTTCAAGATAGGAGGAACAAGTAGTAGACGATATGAGTGTTTTGAGTAGGGACATCCAATACGGGAAATCCCTATTATTATATCAGAGTGGGGGGCCTTGACTTCTGATTTCCAGTTCAAATTGGTTGCTCGAGATGTCTGTCCAGATCCCCATCGTCGTGGCACTATGGTGGTTTCGTGGATAGCTCAGTGTAAGCCAGTCGACATTGCTTTTCCTCCAAGGGAGGCACGAGGTACCTTGGAGGGATGTTGTCACATGGTGGGGTGGCAAGGCGGGGCAACCTCCAGGTACCGCGTTGGCGCGCACTGTCACCACACTGTATACAGGCGTCAAGCTCCAAAGCTTCAAGCTCATCAACGACATCGCATAGCTGTTCACAACGCCTCATTCTCACTCATGTAACCTACAACGGAAAGACAAAATGAAGAAGACATTACTTATAGTTTTCATCCACGGGTTCAAGGTACGTCGGATCATGCTCATTCTAATGACTTCCGATCCCTAACGTTCCGCACAGGGAGGTGACGACACCTTTGGCGACAAGGAAGGCTTCACAGCACAGCTCCGCGCAGACCTCGCCGCCCTCCTCCCAAAGATCAACGTCAACGTCCTCGTCTATCCCAAATACGAGACACGCGGCGACCTAGGAGACTGCGTGAGCCGCTTCCGCGACTGGTAATCCCCGCTTCCCATCACAGCCGACCATCAACCAGGTCATCGTTGACACACTCTCACCAGGCTCCTCGAAAAAGTAATCGACCTAGAAGTCGCAAACAACACCCCCTCGCCAACAGTAGACCCCTCCGTCCGCGTCGTCCTAGCAGGCCACTCCATGGGCGGCATCGTCGCCGCCGAGACCGTCATAGGCCTCACCTCGGAAAAGCCAATCTACTCGGAAGACGGCGTCGAGAAGGCGGCGGACTCGTCCACCGCAACCTTCAACAGCCTCATGTTCCCCTACATCCAGGGCGTCATCGCCTTCGACACGCCGTACCTGGGCATCTCCCCCGGCGTCGTCGCCCACGGCGCAGAGGGCCACTACAACACCGCCAACGCCGCCATGACGCAGCTCAGCGGCCTCGGCACCGCTCTCTGGGGCGCGAAGCAAGCTACTTCTTCACCTTCACGAAACAAAGCGCCCGTCGCTGCACTACCTGCTCCTCCGGCAAACTCCTCACAGCAAGGCGGCGGATGGGGCTGGGGCAAGATCGCAATGGTGGCAGGCTCCGCCGCCGCCGTGGCAGCGAGCGCGGGAGCGGCGTATTACAACCGCGAACACATCACCCAGGGTCTGACGTGGGCGACGTCGCACCTCGAGTTCGTCGGGTGTCTCGCAAAGGGCGCGGAGCTGCAGAAGAGGGTGCAGTACATGGTCAAGCTCGACCGCGAGCTCGACGTCGGCTTCGCGAATCTGTACACCCGCCTCGGTAAAGCCGCCGGCTCCAAGGAGGTCAGCGTTGTCGGCACGGTGCTGGGTCGGGAACGGACGTTCTGTAACCTGCCGAAGCGGGATAATGGTGGGACATGGAAGCAGGCTGTGAATGATGTCGCTACGGAGGAGACGCAGGCGCATATGAGTGAGTCTACCCCCCTTTTCGCAGTTACCCAAATTGCTCAACGTTATGGACGTAAGTTTTGGTTTTTGCTGACTGGAATGCCAGACATGTTTGAACCAAAGATGAACCCGGGGTACGACAGACTCAAGGAAGACGCAGCAACTCTCATCGCCCAGTGGACGCGAAACGAATGGTACGAGTCCAGCGAGGAAGACAAGCTCGCCATCAAGGAGGCGGGCGAGAGCGCTACCGCTTGAGACTGTAGACTGTGATGTTTGCTTTTGTTTCTTTATTATTACGGCTGCTGGAGCAAGGCCGCATTCTTGTAGACGCCCATCCTCTTTTTCTCATTTTTGTCTATAATCATACCCCCGACCATTATATAGTGCTTATACCCACCTAAATTTTGGATTTCACCCCTTTCAGTTGAGGAATTACTGCGTCTTGGAGCGGCCCGCCTCCTCGGCCTTCAAGTTGCGCATAACCTTGCTTCTCTGCTTCATCATGTACGTGTACAGAATATACGATCCTACTTTCACATCAGCACTCCCTCCTCGTGATCACAGATATAAAATGGGGGTAAACATACCAGGAACATAAACAGCAAGGATAGCATACGAAACCCACGGCACCATCTCCCCAAACTGCCTAGCCGGCGTCGCAGCGTAGTAAATCAGCACGCACTCGCTCGTGATACCGATAGGGTACAGCACGAAGAACGTGTTATAGCGCAGCCACGTCAAGAACTTGGGCTGGAACCCGCTGAGGGTGAGCGCGAAATACGAGTAGCGGATCACCTCGGTGACGCTCCAGGCGAGCAGCATGGACGAGTACCAGGGGCTGCGGGCGAGGTAGGGGAAGGGGTAGACGACGCCCCAGACAAGGACGAAGCGGGATAGGACTTGCATCACGGTCGTGAAGACGGGGGCGCGGACGACGCCTGTGCGGAACTCGTGATTAGCTTTCATTCCCTTGGGTTCGTTGCTTCTTCTACTCTGCCGCCTCGGGGTTGAGGGGAGGAGAACGGATAAAAGGGAGTGCAAGGGGGATCCAAACGAACCGAGCAATGCGTGCAAAACCTCCATGGCAGCCATAGTCTGCGTCCACCGCGTCCAGTCGCCGACGCCGAGATGAACGAAATGCGGCCCGCGGAGCGCAAAGAGCGCGACGGTGCGGCCGAGGACGGTGGCCCAGGCGACGGCGGAGACGAAGTTGTAGGCGATGAGGTAGCCGTTCTTGAGGGGGGAGGATCGCCGCCTCTGCGGCTTGGCAGCTGCTGTTGCCGTGTCTGCCATTGTTCTTTGCGATTGGGGTGGTGGTTCGAGCTTCGTTTGGAGATTTCGGGGAGTGCGATGCGCGGAGAGCTTCGATCGTTGTGTCAGGTACCCGGTGGTGGTGATGATGACAAGATGGGTGTTTTTTGCAGATGCAAAGCTTCTGGGAAAGATTGTTGAGGGAGGTTGAGCTGCAAGCCAAGGGTCCATCCCAATTGTCCCACATCCAATTGGGACCGAGGCATGTGGCATCCTCTGGCTGCCCATGGGTGGCATGGCATGGCGCATGGGTGCTGGGGGTGTCCCACTGTGCAAGGCACGCCGCGGCGCGCGTTGGTGCTCGTTTACAGGGGTCGAGCTCTGAATGCTTGATCCGACCACTCGAACCTTAAGCTCGCAGCTGACTTTAGTACCCAAATACAACTTTATGTGGCAGAGATATTGCAGTGATCATAAACCGAGTAAGCTTGAAAATGTATATCATTGTACGATACTGAATAGACAAATCCCATATTTGAACCCCGTTGCTATGCTGGCATAAATCAGATGCAAACGCCACCCGTCTCGTCTCGACGGTGAATCCCAATCACGCCCACAACTGGTAAAACATGGCCGACATCAAGGCCACTGGCACCCAAAAAGCCATGGCACTCGACTGTCCCAGAAGCTGCCCGGGCGCCGTACCGTTGTGCAGCATCACCGCTGCGCCAATCGTGTTGGACGAATCGATGCTGCACACGATCTGGCACTTGCCCTCGCCGCGGCGGCGGTCCAGCTGACCTCTGGGACCGAGACCGGCTTGGTGGAAGCTGTTATCGAGGACGTCACGCTTCGAGGACGATTCCGTGGAGTTGAAAACCATCTCGATCCACTGGATCTGCATGACGGCCGAGTGCCCGACCTCCATTACGCCAGACCACGACCCGCCATCGCTCCACGAGTTGAGCATGACGCGGCTGGGGTCGCGGGGCACCTGAAAGGAGATGCTCGACACCTCGGACCCGTCGACGAGCCAGGTGCTGTCCTTTGCGTCCCAGTCCAGGCGGTGGACGGCCCAGTCGCGCCACGAAGTGCCCTTGGGCATGGTGCCGTTCTGCGTTGACTTGTCGATGGTGTTGCCGCTCGAGTCGAACGACGGCTGGTTGGTGTACTGGATGCGGTCGTCCGGGTCCTTGGTGAGCACCTCAATGTCGGCCTCCTGCACGTTGGCGTACTTGTCGGCCTCGCGGTAGGTGAAGAGTGCGGTGCAGGCGCCCGGGTCGCCGAGGGTGCGGGCGAGCATGCGGACCGAGACGAAGTGGTAGCCCATGGAGACGGACTCCATCTCGGCCGAGGACTGGAAGTCTTCGAAGCGGACGGTGCGCATGCTCATGAACGTGTCCGAGGTGGCGTCCTTGTCGTTGTTCTTCTCAATGTAAATGTTGTTGGGCGAGTTGACCATGTTCACCGTGGCGTCGTTGCCGTCTTTGCCCTTGCGATCCGTGTTGTTCCAGTTCTGGATACCCCATATCGTGTTCCATGCGTCTGTGTTGAAGTAGTCAGATGTTGTGTTTGCGTTGGCGCTCGCATCCCAGTCCGTGAGGGCATCTGGGACCCCTGCGTATTGGCCGAGGTTGCGGAAGTCGAAGAACAGGTGGTTGCTGAAGTAGCTCTCTGATGTGTTGGTCAAGTAGCAGTCGCATACTGAATCGGCGACGTAGGGATGGTCATCAGCCACAACCAACGGCAACAGCGTGAGAGCAAGGCTCACGAGAGGTGCCCGTCTGAAAGACATGATTCCGCTGCTGCTGCTTGTTGCTTGTCCGTGTGTGGCTTGGCGGTTGGGCTTGCGGCTCTGTCAGGAGTGCTGCAATCGAGAGTCTGGGGAAG